GATGTTGCCGAAATGTACGATAATATTCTTCATAAACCCCTAAACTTGAGGCCAGGTGCGAGCTTCACAGCCTGGTCCATTTTAGAACTCCTGGAAAAAGGCAAAACTGACTTGGTACCAAAGAAGACGTTCTTGAAATTCAGAATCATCCTTTTTTGAGTCACTCAGCTGGACTGACCTTGTACGAAAGAAGATTCCACCACCATTTAATCCTAATGTGGCTGGACCGGATGATATCAGAAACTTTGACACCATCTTTACAGAAGAAACAGTTCCATATTCTGTGTGTGTGTCCTCTGACTATTCTATAGTAAATGCCAGTGTGCTGGAGGCAGATGATGCATTCCTTGGTTTTTCTTATGCTCCTCCTTCAGAAGACTTATTTTTGTGAATGGTTTGCCATTCAAAAACCATTGGGGAAATATAAGCCTGTGGCTGAGACTGTACCTCCTTTTTGTGTGAATATATTCAACTATGTATGAGTGCCTCATTTCTACTTATGTTGAAAACTATGAAAAACATATTTTCTGCTGTATGCAAGAAAAATAGGGCATTTCAAAGAGGTAAGTTTTGAATTAAAATTTGTATTCTTTATTAAGCTTATTTTTAAACAAAATTTAAAGCTATTATTATTCTTAGCATTAACCTTTTTTAAAGATAACTTTTTGCTACTGACTTTTTTCCTTGTTACGTTTACACTAACATCTAAGACTGAATAGTCTGTTTCAGTTAAGATCTATTAATACCTTTATAATCCTATGACTTTCATCATAGCAGAACTATGCAAATGGCACATGGTCATTAAGATGAAACCATATCTTTCTGTGATTAAAATCACTGTTTGAAAAGTGGTTCTTTCTAGAATTAAACTGTAAAAGCATAGTTAACATGTTGGCCGCTAGTTAATCCTGAATAACATTCATTTTCAGGTAATATAAGAAATAACAAAAAGAAACCATTTGCTTTTGAAATGCCAGTTTTAGTTTGTGCTTCATTTTTCCTCGAGAGCAAAAGGAAAAATTTAATGGCTAGAAATTTTAAGAATTCCCAAGAATCTGAAGAGTAATAAAGTACTACCAGATTTTTTTTAAGGTAGTGCCAAAAATCAATGTCTATGTCATATATTTATAGGAAAAATATATTCTATTTATGTTCCTTTTGACCTTTTGAATGTTTAATATATTGTTGAATAGATCTGAATCTTGGTGTCTATTTTTGCAAATATCTATTTCAAAATTGTCTTCCTAATTGATCAAGTTTTTTTAAATGATGGAAAAAAGTAACTTTCTATAATTTCAAATCAAAAAAATAAAATGGCAGATCTGGGTCAGTATAAATGTATGTAATCTTACTGTACTGTAACAAAAATAATTTTGCAGATAATACATATTCAGGATTTTTTTTGGTAGTTCTGGGGATCAAACACAGGGCATATCTACCATTGAACTATACTTCTAGCCTCTCCATGTATCTTGGAAAGAGTACTGGAAACTGACCTTAAAGATCATAACATGTTAATTTTTCTGCATTTTTAATGGCAAAACATATTAGCTACCAAGAAAACTAGCAAGAGGATGCTTAACTTGGGATTCTGATTCCTAGAGTCGCAGTTTTTCAGGTCTTGTAGAAAACAGTATTGTGAGACTATAACCGCCCAGCTTAGAAACTCTAAGGGCAAACTTTCTTGCATGTGTTCTCTTGAAAAAGAAATCACAAGAACATTTCTCACCAATCTCTTTCGACTTGAAAATGTTCAGTGGAGTGGGGATAATAGATGCTTTTGTTTGGTTAATACTATTTATATGCAGTACGCTGAATCTTCCTTGGACGTAAGATGTTAATATCTACACTGTAAATATTTGGTTGGCATTTCTGTAAGTTCTGCTTTTATATAAAAGATTTTGTTGACTATAAAGCAAGATAAAAATTAAAAAAAAAAGAATTAACCATTTTTAGCTGGGAGTGGTGGTGCACACCTTTGATCCCAGCACTCTGGAGGCAGAGGCAGGTGGATCTCTGTGAGCCTGGTCTATATAGTGAGTTCCAGGCCAGTCCACTACAAGGAGACCCTGTCTCAAAAAGAACCTCCCCCCCCACAAAAAAAAAAAAAGAGAATTAGCCATTCTTAGTCAGTGGTGGCTCCTGTCTGTAATCTCAGCACTCGGGAGACTAGGACAAGATGAGTTTGAGGCCAGTCTGGGCTACAGAGACCCAGTCTCTAAAAAAAAAGAAACCAAAGAAAAATAGCCACTCAGAGGAAGAAACATTCTTTGCATCTTCAGTTCTACTTCAGTCTTTCCTCAGGGCTCACTGATGAGAACGACTTTGGAGTTCACTTTCAAGGGCTCTTTAGCCCTCACTTCTGCATTCTTGCCCTTGGCGGTGTCAGGAACATTCTAATTTCACTGATAGCCCAAGTGAGTTCTCTAATCTCATTTTGCTTGATTTTGATATATCATTAAAAAACCCCAAACACAGCTGAGCGTGGTGACACACGCCTTTAATCCCAGCATTCAGGAGGCAGAGGCAGGCAGATTTCTTCGAGTTCAAGGCTAGCCTGGTCTACATAGGGAGCGAGTTCCAGGCCAGCTGGGGCTATAAGAAGACCATCTCAAAAAAACAAACAAAAAAACCCCCAACCAACCAACCAACCAACCAACCAACCAACCAGCCAACTCAAAAACCCCACAAATAAAACCACAATGCAGGAAAATCGCCTTAGAGGCTGATTGTGAGGTCGTTTAATCCCAGCACTCGGGAGGCAGAGACAGGCAGTCTACAGTATAGTGAATTCCAGGCTAGCTGGGGCTACATAGTGAGACCCAAGCAAGAAAAGCTGACTGCTGAGGCTGGAGAGATGGCTCAGCAGTTAAGAGCACTTGGCTGATCTTTCAGAGGACCCAGGTTTGATTCCCAGCACCCACATGACGGCTAACAATCATCTCTAACTCCAGTTCCAGGGGATCTGACACCCTCTTCTGACCTCTACAGGCATTGCATGACATAGCTATATTACATACATGCAGGCAATATACTCATACACATAAAATAATTTTTTTTTACTTTTATCTGCGGATTTTATGCTCAATTTATTCCCATGCTGTAAGTTTTTGTTTCTTTAGTTTCTTCTGGGATATCTTTTTCTTTTGTGCAACTTCCTCTTCAGGCTTAGGAACAATTTGTTTCTTTTCAGTGAGGATCATTTGGATGTGGCAGGAGGAGCTCATGTGTGGGTTAATGTAACCATGAGCTCTGTAAGTTCTGCCGGGCATCTTGGGTGATTTGTTCACCCGGATATGCTCAGTGACCAGAGAGTCTACATTTAAACCCTCAAATTCAGCATTGCTCTCTGCATTTTTAAGCACATGCAGCAAAAATGCAGCACTCCTTTTGGGCCACTGACCTTGTGTCTGGCCCCACTGTTTGGCCTGGGCACACCTACCAACTCCACCTATAATGCTGGAATGGCACACACTGCTTCTTTAAAGTGATATCTTTCAGATACTTGGTGGCTTTTCAGATACGCATACCCTTGATGACTTGGGCAGTTTCACGTGTGTTCTTAAAGTGACCATTAAGATTGGAACCTCTTGATTTGCATGATTTTGTAGGATGTTCTGGGTCAAGAAAGTAACAAACCATTTTCACATGTCACCTTGGAGGCTTACAGGAAGAGAATAAAATATATTTTTTTAAAAAGTTAACTGCTGTGGCTGGAGAGATGGTTCTGTGGTTAAGAGCACTGACTGCTTTTGCAGAGGACCCGGGTTCGATTCCCAGCACCCACATGGCAGCTACGAACTGTCCTTAACTCCAGTTCCAGGGGAATCTGAAGCTCTCTTCTGACTTCTGCAGCATTGCATGACATGGGTACACTCACATACATGCAGGCAATATACTTATACACATAAAATAAAAATAATAAAATACTAAAAACAAAAAGTTAACTATTTGGCTCAGATAGTTCTGAACAAGTAGGAGCACTTATCATGCACCAGGTATCAATTTGTTTAATCACCATAAAACTGCCATAAGTTTTTAAATGTTTAATTAGTTAGTTACTTTGTTTTTTGAGACAAGAGTTTCTCTTGTAGCCCCAGCTGGTCTGGGATCAAAGGCATGGGCAACCATACCTGGCCCTATTTTTATTTTTTATTTTTTGAGACAATCTGGATATGTAACACAGGCTGACCTCCAACTTGAGGTCCTCCTGCCCCAGTCCTCTGAGTGCTAGGATTATAAGCACGTACATACCATCATGCCCCTCCCCAGCTTTTTAAGAGGCTGAACTTGAACTTTCTAGATAGTTCAGGATGACTTTCAACTTCTGATTTCACCTCCCAAGTGTTGTGATTTCAGGCTTGGGCCACTCCCATTTTATAAATGAAAATTTCGAGGAAGGTAGAGGTGAAGCGCCTCATCTCGACTCTGGATGTAGCAAATTTCAGTGAGGAAGTAAGTTAACTGTGGTTCTCTCACAGAGACAAGTAGCTCTGAAGTCGTAGGGAGGAGGGGAGATCTGAACCCCACCTCCTATCCTGCACCCCTGCCCTGAGCCCACCTGGGCATGCAGGTGACCCCTGAGGTGAAATCTTCTCTCATTGGGGGGAAGTTGGAGAGAAACAAGTAGGGTTGCAAGAGCTTACCCTTTGGCACTAAAGTCTAACATCCACTGAATTGAAATGAACCCTTGGCAAGATACATAAATTAGATAAATTCAGTCCCTGGCACCTTTGGGAAAAGTTCCTTTATTAAAAAAAATTTAGTACATTTACATGATTGTCATCACCCTTCCTCTACAGAACACACAGAGAAAATAAAAAATACAAGACGACCTAGACACACTCAGTATAAAAATGTAGTGATCTATCCCAATGGGAGGCCTCAGGGGCCTCAAGATCAGAGGAATCCACCAGGGCCAGTGAGTCCTGCAGGCTGTGCTTCTGGAGAGCCTGAGGGGACACTGAGGACCCATCTCTAAATTTTTGAAAACAGTATTTAAAAAAAAAATGCAAAAAGAGGCTGCTTTCTAAATAGAGGGAGTCATTTGAGGGGGAAAGTCACCACAGGACATCAGAGTGGGTCCCAGCCCAAAACATGGGGCCATGCATTGCATGGCAGGTGAGACTTCTAGAAATTCAGCCTCTGAAGTGACTGTGACCTTGGCAGAGAGATCAGTGTTGAAGTCAGCATCACATCCTTCCATGTGAAAGGCTTGCAGTCCAGCCTTTGTGTCAGATGTGGTGTACAGAACAGGCCACTGGCCGACAAGCTTCAGAATCCTTGGCTGAAGTGGGGACCGAACTCTCTTGGAGATGCTGCTGTGACCTGACCTTTAGTTCCTGCCTGGCTGGCTTGGCAAAGGCAGCTCAGTCATCCTCACCACAGCCATACATGTCAGCCAGTTTCTTGAATCGACTTCCCCACTCATTCAGGTAGTTGTAGTCCTGGTCCTGATCAGAGGCTGAGGAGGTGAGGGAACTCAAGGAGGCAGCATCCGAGCCGCTGCCCTCATAGTCGAACACTAGCAGGGAGTCGTAGGGCGGGGCTGTAGGGTCTGAGTTAGCAGCCTTCAGGTTCTGGGGCAACAGAGAGCAGCAGTTAGGAGTGGCAGAGGGTGAGCCCTGTCAGTGGCTTGGGCTCTGTTGACTCAGAGCCTCTGCTGTGTCTCTATACCTTCCCACAGAAGGTGGTGGCGTCTGCCGCTGAGGCTTTTAAGGTGGAAATTAAACAGGGCATAGAAAATTCTTAACATGGTGACCCAGGGCAACCCACACTAGTGGGGAAGGACCATGAGCCAGAACTTGGACTACACAAATTAGTTTTGGGAGCTTGGGAAAAACCTCTCAAGTGCTCTGTGCTCATTTCCTGTCCGTAAAATGATGATGCTCCCCCATGTCGTTCCCCCCATCTTGAGGCATTGAGGGGCACACACGAAGTTCTTAGTAGCTCAGCTCTTAGTAGTGATTCTGGCATAGAGCACAACATTATTTTCATATTTATAAAATGATGTGAAGATTGAGAAAGAATTTGCAAATTGTCTGGAAAATGTCCTCATCTAACTGAAGGGAAATGGTCCAGCTACCTGACCTCAAATATTTTCTCATCCCTGAGCAACTGTTCTGGAACGTGAGCACCTGAAGCATTTTTCTTTTTTTTTTTTTTTGGAGATAGAGTCTCACTACGTCATACTTGCTGGCCTCCCAAGTGTTGGGTTTAAAGATGTATGCCACCAGCCCCAGCTGGCACCTGTGTTTTTTTTAACACAGCACTTCCAAACACACTCAAGAGAGGCTCCCTGCTGAACTACTTCTAGGAGGGCAAGAGGGGTAAGCAATTGTGTTTCTATCTTTGCAGAGAACAAGAGCAGATCAGCCAATTTTTTTTTTTTTTTTGGTCTTTTTTGAGACAGGGTCTCCCTGTAGCCCCAGCTGTCCTGGAACTCACTATGTAGACCAGGCTGGCCTTGAATTCACAGAGATCCACCTGCCTCTGCCTCCCGAATGCTGGGATTAAAGGTGTGCACCACCATACTGGGCTCAGATCAGCCAATTTTGAATGCTTCAAGTTATATTATTATTATGCATGTGTGTGGGTATGTATGCCATAGTGCATGTGTAGATCAGAGGACAGATTTCAGGAATCTGTTCTCGTCTTTCCCAGTGGGTTCTGGGGTTCAAACTCAGGTTGTCAGATCTATGCAGCAAGTGCGTCTCTGAATCACCTGACCAGCCCCTAATTTTGAACTTTAACTGTTTTTTTTTTTTTTTTTTCCACCCTTCTCTTTTTCTGTTAAGGCTCTCTAGTCATTGACTGCTGCCTAGGTACCAGGCTGTGCTGGGCTTACCTCAGAGACTTCCCACATATCTAACTCATGGTTCTACAGATTTGATTTATTGGGGGAGTTAAAGCTCGAGCTGGGTCACAGCCAGATCAATGGGGCTCCAGTTCCTGGAGGAGTCAGAGGCTATTGGGGGAGGTCTTGGTGAAGTTCCCCTAGGGAGTCCAGTAGCAGACAGGTTCGGGAGCTTCTACCAGCACTGATCTAGGCATTTCCTCATTTAGTCCTTGAAGTATCCCCCAAAACTTCCAAAATTTCCTGTACATGGAAATGTTATTTATTTATTTATAGACTGAATGGCACTCTTAGCACAGGCTGGCCTGGAACTCACAGCAATCCTTTTGCCTTGTTCTTCTAAGGGCTGGGAATACAGGCATGAACCACCATATCCAGCTTCATAGTCTAATCTTTAAAATTGAAACAAATAGTCTGGCTCCAGAATATTCAGTTAACAATTCAATGTTTGAACACATGAAGAAATTATTCCTAATTGGTTCTTAAGTAGTCTACAAATTTGGGGTTCATGGGAAAAAGAAAAGCCCGCAAATACTCAAATATGAAGGTCACACAGCTGGTAGATGGTGGAGGCAGAATTTGAACCCAGAACCCAGACTGAAACCCCATGCTTATTCTCCCATGCTGCTTGTATGGGCTTGACTTGGGGCTGCCCTAGGCTGGCTATGCCTCACCTCAGTGATGAAGTTGCCGATTTCATCTGGGTTGGCTGGCCGGGGACGGTACATGGGTGTGGGGATGAAGGTTGGTGCCACATCGTTTCGGAGAACCACCTCAGGCCTGGCCTCTAGACCACGGTGGAGTTGGGTGATGTCATAGTCCTTTATGAAAACAAATGGGAGCCCTGGGTTGAGAACTCTGCCCATTTCCTCTGTCACACCTCACCTATCCCCATGCTCTGGAAAATGCCAGGGATTTCAGAAACCCCTCATTTCTACCCTCCCCTGTTCTTTCACATTAAGGGCAGACTTGAGAGCCACTTCACTAGGGCAAAGAGACTACGGCGTTGTCCCAGAGGAGAGGAAATTGGGTGGCCAACTCTGCAATGAAGAATAATGCTTCTTCCAGGGCTGGTCAACATGGCTAACAGAGTTATAGTTGGATGATCTAACTACTCCTGCCATAGGCCTTGAAAGTATCCCTATCTCCCCCGCCCAGCTTCCTCCAGAGACCTACCTGGTCCTCTTCACCGCCACCCTCTTCACCATAATAGAAGACATTGTCTCGAGTGTCATCTTCTGGGAGCAGAAGGGGCTCTTTGACCTTCCTCTTCTTTCTCACCAGCAGGAGGAGCACCAGCAGGAGGACTGAAAAAGCAGAGGAGGACTATGAGTCCTCCTCTAGCCACACAGCCAGTCAGGACCCCATGCCCTCAGAGCCTACCTAAATTTATTTTGGGGTTTTTGAGAAAGGGTCTCACATTGCCCAGATTGGTTTCAGCATTAGTTGAGGCTAACCCTGAACTCCTGATCCTTGTGTTTTTACCTTTAAATGATGGGATCACAGGTGTGCACTACCACACCCTCCTCCATTTAAATTTAGAGACTTCCACCCTTCTGTTCCCCGTGTAGAATCCTGGCTTCATCTTTTAGGCTCAGCTTGGTGTCGCCTCTTAGAAGAAACATGACTATAAGCCTCCCACGTACACAGCTCTACAGCATTTACTAGCATCAGGCTTCCCATACTTGGTGGTGTTTTGTGGGCACAGGAGCTTCCTAGTAGCTGTTGTCTTCCAATGAGACTCAGATACTTGGTGTCCTCTAAATTAGCCATAGACTTAAATTTAAAGGCAAGATGATGCAACTCTGACATACAGTCATTTGATCTTAGTTGCAAATGCTATATTGGAATTTTAAGGAAGGACTGGCTTTTAGTGACACAGTTTGTTAGACTAGAAGAGCATTTGCACATGGGGGGGGTTTGCCCAGCTAAGACATTTGCACATGGGGGTTGCCAGCTAAGACTTAGGCTGCTCTCCCTGTCAGGGGTACTCTCTCACCTCTGCTGTGGCAGCTCAAGTTAAGAGGCCACAATCACTGTTTAGGACTATTACTTTTTTGCTGTTGATGGAAGTGCCATCTCCATGGCCAGACAAGACAGACCTAGCTTTCTTTGGGAGGCCATGGCTTCTCAAGATGCACACTCAGGTGTGGACCAGATATGATTTTTTTTCTTCGCTTTTCCTTCCCACGGGTCTAGGGGAAACCTAAAGGCCAACTGGATTTCTCACCTGAACCCAAGGCTTATGTGCCCACTCATTTCTCCATTTGGACTGACCTGGCCAATCTCTTCCCAGTCCTTTCCAAATCCAAACGGGAAACTCCATATTTCCTTCCCATTCTCTCTTCCTTCCTCCTTCCTAATTCAAACTCATACTCATGTATCCTAGGCCTTGAACTTATTATATAGCTAAGACTGGCTTTGAATTTATGCTCCTGCCTCTACCTCCTGCATATTGGGATTACAGGTGTTTGCCACCATGCCCATTTTTTTATGTGGCACTGAGGTGGAATCCAGGGCTTCATGTATGCCAGGCAAGCACTTAAAAAAAATTATTGGGGTTGGAGAGATGGCTCAGTGGTTAAGAACACTGGTTGTTCTTGCAGATGACCCAGGTTCGAATCCCAGAACCCACATGGCAGCTAACAACTGTCCATAACTCCAGTCTCAGGGGATCT